ATATGCAATGAAGGAGGAATAGGATGAGAAACGGGACGGGTGTCAACTTGTGGTTGTACCGGTTCACTCTCTTCATTAGACATACCCACTTGATTGTCCACAATCTTCCCACTTCTCAAGGTTGTCACCGCATTGACATGCTCTATTATGTGACCTTCCGATGAGGAATGAGTCTCCACAACACATTATTGCTTTGTGGGGCGTTCAAAGACATTTTCCCTTTCTCTTTAGCATTTAAAGTACTAGCTATTTGCCCTACTTGGGTTTCTATCTTAGCAATGGATTGAGAATGAGAATGAAGCAATTTAGTATTAGCCTCTAGAGTGCCTAGAGCGGTCAAAACTTTCTCTTCAAAAGCGGGACTCCTAGCATTTCCTTGAGAATATGATGGTTGATTAGGAAAATGAGAATTAGAGAATTGGTTTCCTTGTGATTAAAATGGTCTATATCCTTAGAAACCTTGGCTTTGCATCGGAGGTGGAACATACTTCCCTTGGAAACCACCTTGGGGAGGGTTTGAGCCTTCCCCTTGGTTTTTCCAAGAAAAATTCAGGTGATTCCTCCAACTAGGATTATAATGATAGCCATAAGGGTTGTTCCCTTGATTAACAAAAGTTGCATTGACTTGCTCATGATGCTCATTTTGCACATGTCCCTGGGGACAACTGGAAGTAGAATGTAAAACACTTGAACAAGTCATACATGTCTCATTGGATGCATAATGGGAATGGTTAGGGACAGAGGATACTTGATTTGCCGAGTTTTGGTTGATTAAGAATTGATCAAACCTTTAAGATAAGGACTTCATCTCGGCGGCTATTTCATTGGAATGGTCGACTTGATGTAAGCCAACACTCTTCCTTTCACTTGAATTCCTACTATTCTTAGAAGATAAAGTTTGATGCAAATAATTCTCACTCATGCTCTCATAAAGACACCACACGTCATCCTCATGCCTATCAATGTAAGAGCCACCTATGGAAGCATCAACCATCTCCTTGTAATTGTCCGATAAGCTCTCGAAGAAATATTAAACTAATTGCCATTTGGGCATGTCATGATGTGGACACTTCCTAAGCAATTCATTGAATCTTTCCCATGCCTCATGGAATGTTTCCCTATCCTCATGCGAAAACTCTCGAATTGAGGTTCTCATGGCATTGGTCTTAGAAACTGGATAGTACTTCTTCACGAACTCTTGTTGCATTTCTGCCCAAGAAGTTATTAAAAAAGGTCTAGGATTGTTAAACCAACATTTTGCCTTGTCTTTAAGGGTGAATGGAAAAAGTTTAAGCCTTAAGACCTCTTTCGGCATGTCCATGTATCTCACGGTGGAACATACTTCAAGAAACTCATCCAAATACTTGTAAGGTTCTTCATTTGGGAGTCCATGATAGTTAGGAAGCATTTGAATGGTTTGTGGTTTGATCTCATAGTGGTGTGCTCTAAATAGTGGCAATTGAATGCATGTGGGTGCATTGTATTCATTAGGCACATAGTGATCTCTTAATGCAAGGGGAGGATTAGCAATTGGAGGTACAACATGGGCACCTTGATTGCCTTGAATGATGGGAGGTGGCGGAGCATAGATTGCCCTTGGCATTCCCAATGGAACTTGGCCTTGTTGTTGTGGTGGATGAACGAATGGCCTCGGCATGCCTAATGGTAGTTGCATGTTATCATGATGCACATTGGGGTGGAGGATACCTTGTTGGTCTATGTTGGCCTAAGGATTTAATCTAAAGGTCAATCTTATATTTTGATGATTATAAACCATTAATGATGTTTATGTACTAATATTTTCCTTGAGTGCTATATAGTTGATCAATTAATTCAATCCTCAATAATGAGCCAGAAGCATTCCAAGTACTCAAGCAATGGATTCAAGGAAGCATTGAAGTTGCAAGAATTCAAAGATTATTCAAGTACTCCATCAAAGGCTAACCGATCATGGTCAAAGATTGAAGAAAAGGGTAGATTAGATGGTGAGAGCTTAAGATTTAATGTCAAAGTTAATTTGAATATATTTGAAGCTCAAAATTCAATCCATGCATTGCATTCCCATTTTATTTCTCAATGAAAATAAAATCAGCTCATGATCACATTCACAGGACTTAAAGAATTTCATATTAAGTATCATAATGTGAGATGGAGAAGGCTCCATAAAATAAAGAGAAGGCTCTTTTCTCTTATTCAGTGAGCTCTGAGAAGGTTCTTTTCTTTAACTCCAGTAAGTCTTTGAGAAGTATTTAAGAAAAAGAGAGGGCTCAATCAAAAGAAAGAGAGGGCTCTTTTTGTTCCAAGAAAGCTACGAAAATGGATCTTCAAAATAAAGAGCAGGCTCACGTTTTTATTGAGCAGGCTCTTTCCAAGGAAAATGAACAAAGAGCAGGCTCTTTGGTTTTCAAGAGACGGCTCTCTTTAGGGTTTTGAACTGCAATGTAAACATTTTCATTAAATGTTCTCAACAACCTCTAAGAGCTATATTAAACTCTGCTGATTCTTTAAATACTGAGGTTGGTCTTCAAACTGAAAAATACTTTAATAGAGAACATTCTATCATTCCTTGAAAAGCATTAAAGAAGTATTCTGAACTTTCATTCCCTCTCTGTTATTTCATATCACTGTAGTAATTCTGAGCTTCACGTATATTCATCTTTTCTATAGTTGTGAGCTAAACTCTGTAATCTATCTTTGAGAGATTCTTGTACACTTGTTTCTTCAAATTTCAAAGCTATTGTAAAGGGTTGGTGTAACCCAAAAGAAAGCCTAGGAGAAGGGTGTTCTCCTAGCAAAGAAGAGAAGCAAGATCTTGTTTCAAAAGTGAAGGTTTGCTCTCCACCATTAAGGAGAAGCTCTAGTGAATTTGGGAAGTCTTAAGGGGAATCTTGAGCCGAGGAGTAGGAGTTTCCGAACCTCGCTAAATCACCGAGTCCTTGTTTGCAATCTCTTATCTCTATCTCTCTTATTTTTGTGCTTTATTTTGCTTGAATATTTCAATAAATTGATATTTAACAGTTTGGTAGAAATACAATTTTTAAATTGAAAAATTGATCCTTGACTCTATTCACCCCCCCTCTAGAGTCAATTAGTGACTAATAGTCTATGTGACCAAGGTCCTCCACATGGTCGTCATTATGTCCTTTCATTGATGAAATGGATTGACTAAAACTTCCTCTTCCCTTAAGGTTTCGAACAATGGATTCAAAATGAAAATTTAGAGGGACAAGAGTGGGTTTTAATGATCTACGACCATACATGCACAACAAAGCACAACAAGAAACAAGTAATGAACAAACACTTTACCTTCGCAACAAATCAACAATCAACAAACTTCCTCCACATATAATGTTCCCATACTCCCATGCTATCAACAATATGCAAGAAAAGTAGATTGCCTCCACGTGGGCTCATGATTTATCTAAGAATTGAAATATAAGCCTCCACGCGGGCCGACGATTTAACTAGAGATTGAGTTAAGAAAGAGCTCACAAGGGGTCCTTTAGCACTTCAATTCAATTTTCAATTTTAGCCTTGCAAATTTTTTAGATTTTTAGCCTTTTCCTTTGCTTTTGCTTAGCTCCTTGCTTGAAATGCTCCTTTGCTCACCTTTTTTTCAATGCACCTAGTCAAACAAGAACCAACACAATAAGTAACCAAAATGAAAACAAAGTAAAGACATGATTAAAAGAGTACTAATTCCTAATTGATTCCACAAATACGACGTTGCCTTTAATCAATCCCCAGCAACGGCGCCAAAAACTTTGGTGTGGCTTGGGGCATTAACCCAAACCCACAGTTTGTGCACCAAAAGATAATGGTGTAGAGCTATGATGAATGTGGCTAAGTTTTACATTTAGAAATTACCACTACTACCTTTCACTAAAAATATAGTTAGGGCAAGTAGGGATCGTCCCAAGGGATTGGTGGGTTGTACAAGGTTGTAGAATCAAGATTAGGGTTAGTAGGTCGAGTGATCAAAAGATTGGTTGGTGGTTGAATTACACTAAGATGCAATGTAAACTAAAGTAGGCAATTAAATATAATGGAGAGAAAATAAGAGAGAGAGAGATCTTGGGGTTTAGAGATCACCTCTAAGCATAACTTTTCTACACCCTTAATGAATGATTAATGAGGGGGAAAACATGTATTGCAACATAGTGTGTGTGTGTTGTTGTTTCAACAAGTATGGATGACAAATTAAGCATATATTGTCTAAGCAACATGGTGGATAGCACAATATATCAAACTAAGCCATTAATCCTTTCTTTAAGCTCACAATCCAAACACATCACAAGGTTAGAGATATGTGCTACTTGCTTTCAAAGTATGGAATATCAAACAACAAGCATGGATTTTCCTCCTATTTAACAACTAAACTACAACTACACTACAATTAAGCTAATGACATGGAATTAAACTAATTAAACTAAAGGAGATGCACAATCCATTAAGAAATGAGTATGAACCATCAAACAAAATACAAGAGCATTCCATTAAGCACTATGTTTTAACAATCTCTAGATCTATAGCATTAATACACATAGACATGCATCAACAATACAAGAAATAAAGACAAACACATAAACATCTATTCTAGCATACATAGACATATGGATAGAATGAAATGATCAATTGGAAGCATTAAACCATACAAATCATTGAATAAACAAGATATATATATATAAAAGTGTCAAAACATGTATCACAATACAAATCCCCTCAAAAATACATAAGTCAAGATGTAGAAAACATGTTTACACTACAAGAATTTTGGATACTAGGGACAGATAATTAGGGACATTTTAAAGACTGTCTCAAAAGCTAGGGTTTTTTGGGACGGTTGAGGCCTACGGTCCCAATTAACCCTAAAATAAGCCCGCCAACCTTGTGGTGGGAAAATTTAAGAGGAAATTTCGCAAAATGGGTTTTTGGGAGGATCAAAGCATTACGTGTCACCCCATAATTAAAATCCTTACCCCATCTCTCTAGCTCCCTCATAATCTCTCTCTTCCCTGTCTCAAACCCTAGACGACCTTTCTCTTCTCTCTCTGTAACCCGAACAACAAACGGCGCCACAGAAGATCCTTCCCTCACTGATTCTGCAACAACATCTGGTGTCGATACAGTAATTCTGAACTCGTAACGACCGGCGAAACAGGTTTCTATTTTCTGAACTCTAGCTCCTTTTATTTTTTTTTTTCCGGATGCTTTGATACACACCCAAATTACAGTGAAAAAGAAGAGAAAGGTTTTGTTTAGATAGAAAATACAGAGGGCGGCATAGATCGGTTCTCCAACCTTCTGAAGGTAATCTTTCCAAGCATTGAAAGGATTTGTGTATATATGTATTTGTATGTCTCTGTGTGTTTTTGTCTTCAATTTTTTGTGTTTAATTTGAACGCCTATTTAAAGCTTAAATGTTTGATTTCCTACCATCGCAACCTTTAATTTCTCCTAACTTAACTGATTGATAATTGATTAATCTAGTGACAATGAATAAAACAGTAAACAGATCATTTTTTTAATTCTGATATCATGAATTAGAAATACGGAAAAAGAGAGTTGATAGAAATTAATTGGGATGTTTTGGTTTTACAAGCTTTTTTTTTTTTGTCATTTATTTTATTTTTATTATTTTTAAATTAGTTTTATTGAAGCAGGGATACAAAAATATAAAAAAGAGGGATAATAATCAATTTTCAGTTTTTGCTCTTCCCTTAAATGTGCCAAACGTCATTGTAAATTAGTAAAATTGGGATGTGGAAGGTTATTGTTTTATTGGCTAAGGGCTTAGTGGCTAAATAAAGCCACCCAAATTACAGGGAATGTTTCTCTAGCTCAAGATTTCATATTAATTAGTACTGAATGTTACCTCTAGAAACAGATTTCACTTCTCTTATTGAGGTCAAACTGTGACCTACATGCTTGTGTTAATTCAATTGTAAATATTGAAGTTTGTGTTCTATTAGTCACTTTAGTAGGTTTGATTATTTTCATTCGAGTAAATGATCTTATGAGTTTATTTTAGTAAATCATGATTGTAGAAAATTCTATATGAGATAATGGTACTTCTATATGTTTAAGTAATTTCTGTTGTCATTATACCCATCTTCATCTTTTTCAGGTCTGAAGGCAAAGTTTTAGTCATCAAGTATGCATAAGAAAAATAGCCCGAGTCATAAGAAAAGTTGCTTCCAACTTCAAGGCTGGATTAGAGAATTTATAATTTTTGAAAAATCCTTTTATTTTTTTAGTTTTGGTTTCTATTTTATTCTGACAAAGATAAAAGCTTTTTTATTCATAAAATAGAGTTAAGATATACAATCACATTCAATTGATTTACAAACTATTGAGGAAAATAGTCAATTAAATTTGCATGCAGTTTATTATGTAGAACAGTTCTTTTAACTAACTCGTACATTGTTTGATCTTGGACTTGGAACATGGTTTAACATATAAGCCTCTTGCTGATGCAATATGGAGGAAAATCTATAAAGCACATGTATCAACTAATTCTTCTTGAATTGCATTAAGAATTGCCAAAGTATCACTTTCAAATACTGCTTACATCGTTATTCTAAATTTTAATGACTTTGGCATTCAAGCATATGTGTATCACTTTCAAATACTGATTACATTGTTATTCTATTGGTATTGCTTGTTATCTGGATTTTAGCTTTGCACTCACTTATTCTGTTTGATGGTTATACATTCATTTGTTTGATAATGGAGGACAATATGGTGACCCAATCATCATTAGAGGCATTTGATAACTTGGATGCGAGGGAGTCTTATCATTGAACAGAAGGCAATTGTGAATAGTATGTTGGAGTATCAAAGGTTGTCTTCTCAATTCATGTCCACACAGTTTGGTGCATATCGACCCTTGTTTTACAGCAGCAACAACTTTATAGACCCTTTGGCAGCCATTTAAATAATTTGCAGCCACTGATGCTTGGCCTGTTTGCTCCAAACTCACCATTTCAAACTCATCCACCAACATTTTGATGATTAATCTTTTGTTATTACAAGAATGTATTTCAAATATTGATGTCTAGATACTATATTATTTGGTTCTTATTTGAGTACAATTGATGTAAATGCGATTTGTACATTGTTTTTTTAAGTAATGGTCAATAAAATTTAGCTTCTTTATTTGTGTTGATATGAAATCCAGTTTCTTAATATTTTTTATGGTTGAAACACAGAAACGGAAATAGCAAAAATAACAGGCGCACATATTACCAATAAAATAAAATAATAATAAAATAATAGGCGCACGTTAGGGACAACAATTTTCTGTCCCAAATACTTATTTGGCATAGAACAACTTTCCGTCCCGAATACGTATTTGGGACAGAAAATTATTCCGTCCCAAATGAGAATTTGGGACGGTGGCTTTATCTCCGTCCCAAATGAGTATTTGGGACGGAAGGTTATTCCGTCGCAATTTGTCCGTCCCTAAATGGCTTTTAGGACGCTACATATTGGGACGGATGCATTAGTTGTCCCCAAAAGGTATTAGGGACAGTTTGGCTACCTTTAGGGACAAATTTTTTTGTCCCTAATATCGTAAATTCTTGTAGTGTTAGGGCTAACTCTAGCCCCAAGAGGATGTCTAGCCACTTATGGATGGTGTCCTCCAACCCTCAAGGGCTAACTCCATGGTAGAGATAGCTCATCTTCTTGGTTGATGGAAAAACTCCAAGCTTGTGTCTTTAGCCTCCTCCTTTCTTTTCTTCTTCACTAAGAATATCAAAATTGTGCCTCCATCTACTCTCAAGCATATCAAGTATATCCTCTCAAAAAGTGGCTTATATTCCTTATATAGGTAGGTTAAATATCACCCCAAATGAGCTGGGCTAGTACACCAATATTCTTCCCAATGATTGGATATGAGACAACTTTTAATGAGCTGAAATTTGGATTTTCTCGGGATTTGGGGAGTTCGATCGATCGAACTTGTGGTGAGATCGATCGAACATGGCTGAGATCTATCGAATTTAAGTTGGATTGATCCTCTATGGCGGCGCCTTTTTGGATAAAAACAAATCTGAGAAATTTTTTGAAGATATTTTTGGGAAAGAGACAAATGTGGTAGGTAGGGTGGTACAAGTGGATAAGATGAATCTTTTCGATCGATCGGAAGAAAGTTGGATCGATCGAACTTTGTGGGATCTTTGGATAAGGACAAAAGAGCTTGGATCCATCTTGGAATGCTGAGATCGATGAACTTTTGATCGATCAAATATTTGTTGAGATCAATTGAACTTGCTGAATTTCCACCACTTGCTTCCTTTTGCTCCCACTTTGCTCCTTTCTTTGATTTATCTCAAGATTGCTTCAATTATGCTCTTATTTAGCTGAGTTAGCTTATTTTGGAGATAAGTACCTGAAAATAGAAATAATACAAAATCAATCTAAAGCGGGAAAATAAGATAGATAAAGGTTCTAGAATACCTAAGCTTAAGGGGTTTAAATGGGCACTTTTCAGCGCTCGTTAAGTTACTTTTTTAGTTCAAAGTAACAAACCTCTCTTCTTCACTCTTCATTGCTCTTTTTCGGGCTCATAGCAAACCCCTTCATTCTTCACACCATAATTGCCACTTGAGAACTAGCACCTACTCTTTGGCTTATCCCCAAAACTAGTTCCTCATAGGTTTCACACTATGAACATACCTTGTGTCATCATTAACTTTGATTGAATCTCTATAGCACCTTACGGTCATCTTCTGCTATGACAAACTTCATACAATCTTTAACTTTGAGCTTCAGGACCAACCACAGGCTCTGGCCCACCATTGGCTCTGATACCAGCCATTGGGGATATTATCTCCCTCTAACCCACACGACAATCGGTTATGGTTGAGAATTAAATCCTCCTTCATCACACATCAAAAATATCATCACAGTACCTCAACATGAGCATAATATAAAGATAACAATCATACTTATCCACGTTTAACACAATATTATACATGGTTCACCCAACTCTAGGGTTACGCCCATGGAGGAGATATTTCTCCTATTATGAATCAAGGAAGAGAATATACAACTAGATGTCAAAACTCCATTCACTCACTCGCTCATCACCTCTTTTGAGGCTACACTCACCTTTAAATCCCTTATATCTTTTATCTCTTCTCTCTCTCTACACCTCTTAACCCATCTCTATTTATAGAGTCTTCAAACCCAATTCCTTATTGGATAAGTATTGAAAAACACTGAATATTGCATATTCGAGCCCTTAAACATGCATATGTTAACACCTTAAGTGATACTTTTATCCAGTTTTATACTTATTTTGGTATATTTGTTTTTTATAGGTGATTTCCCGAAGAACAGGGCAAAACCATGATTTTGGAGTTCAAATAAATGTTTCCAAAGCTTATGAAGATGTACTAGAACATCCGAGACTATTCTGGATTTAATTAGGGAATTTTGAAGAAATACAAGTGCCAAAGTTCGAGCACAACCATTTATGCTCGAGCACAAATTGGACTGTCTAAGAAAAATGGCTAAGTATTTTATGCTAGAGCAAGTATTCCCCAACTTTCCTATAAGGAGTTACCATAATAGTATTGAACTCAAAAATAAAAGTCTTCTGGCTTCCATGTCCAATTAGTTCAACTTTTCTTGAACTAGTTCAATTGGGAGTTACAATCATGTCGAACTGGTTTAAGAAAAAGTTAAACTAGTTCTAAATAACTTAAACTTGTTCACTTTTTCCAAAACGATACTCGCACACCAAATTCGAGCCACAAAACCCAACAGGACATACTTGAGGAGGTTTTGTCGATGCTGAATGGAGCGCGCCTTCCAAGTTTTGTGATTAGTGTTAAACCTTCTTGATGTGTTTTGATCGTCTGCTGCCTTCCTTCTTGCTTTGCTTCTTGTTGCTAATGAAACTTTCGATATGTTGGGTAGCAATGGCTAGTTGGGTTCAGGTGGGCTTCTTTTGTTTGTGGGAGGACTTTAGGCTTCCTTTGGACTTTCACCTCCCTTTTGTACATCTCGTTTTTTCTTTTACAAACATTGAATTACCCAAAATTTAGATTCTTTTCAGCTTATTTATTCTTTAAATTCTTCTTCTATTCTATACTTATTTATATACTTAATCGTTTGGTAACCCTCGGATCTGTACTCGGTCTTGATCACCCGTGGCTCTAGAATCGAGGGGTATCACCCCCCCCCCCCAATTCTAGTAGCGGGTCCCACCTAGGACCGTCCGGCCCGAAAAAATAAAAAAATGCCGAAATGATAACCCTTGCATTTTAAAGAGTCCTGAACTCAATGAAATACCTCAACCAGCTCTCGGACACACCCGGCACACCCCACGGTGTCCGGTACGTAAAATAAGAAAAGACGAAAATGCCCTCACAAAATCAAAAAATTCTAGAAAATGAAAAATGGCAAAAATCGGAAACATTATAGAGATATTTTTCTCTAGGGACCTTTTTGTAATTTATTTTGTGAGATATTTTGGGGAAGGACCATTTTACAATTTTTGGAAAGTATGACAAGTGTCATTCTCATTGGACCACTTGGGAGCCTTGTTTGGTGACAAGTGTAGGGTGAATATTCACCTATTTGTTGGCCTTTGGTTGGTGCACTTGTTGACTTAAGATTGTGGCAAGTGTAGGCTTGTGATTAAGCCATATGAGAAGGTCTAGGATTGTGACAAGTGTACGCTTAGGATCAAACCTTGTGAGGAGGCCTAGATGAGTGACAAGTGGAAGGAGTGGATGAGAGTGTGTGTGTGAGAGGTAATGTTAGTGTAGTGTAATGTGTGTGTGTATGCTTTAGTCAGTGAACAATCTCTAGATTTTCCACTAACATTTTCATCTTCCTCACTTGGACACCATTGAAGCACCTTGAAACCCTAGTCTCCTTTCCTTCTTTTCAAGCCTCTTCCCCACATCTTTTTGTAATGACCTGGTCATTTTTCTGCTTTTCTTTTTTTTAGTAATTTATTTTTTCGTCTTTTTCCCTATTTCGTCTCGTTTATCATTTTTCCTTGCATAACCACACTTTTTTTGCTCGGATTTGATTCCGAATTTGCATACATCCATGATATTTAATTTTTATGATATCTACATTTTTACTTTTGTAGAAAAGTATGGTAGATATTTACTTTTCTTGTAAAGGGTATGGATGCATAACTTTTTAGTAATATTCTTGATTTTTGGGATTTTAGTGTAATTATGCAAAGTAATTATTTTTCGTCTTAAGTACCATTTAATTTAATTTGGAAGATATTTTCAAAAAGGACCTTTTTGTAATTTTTGAAAAATGTGACAAGTGTCACACACTCATGGAGCCACTTGTTAACATTGTGGTGGAACCACTTGGAGGCTTAATCTCTTGACACATGGAG